TTGAGGGATTTGTGGACAGAGGCCAGTCTCGCCAAAAAGGAAGGTGAACCCCATTCAGTCGGTTCGGATGAGCTTTGGCGGCCTTCTGATAGTCAGATACATTGTTTGGAGCAACTTTCGCTGAGATCGAAGAGATTGCTGCCCACGTGCTTTCACCTGTCCTTTCTGGATGACGAAAAGTTGTCGCCGAAGGAGTGGTGCGAAGCAGTTGTCAAATGCGAAGTTTTTGCTTTGATGCAGGCGATATCAGCGGCTTCAGGGGTGTCGACAATGTAAGAGACCAACGGCGTATGCGCATAAATCAGGGACCCATCGGATTTGGATACCATAGCCCCATCTCGAGCTGCCATCTTCAGAGGCTCGCAGACGATATCGAGACAGTGGTGGAGCAATCGGCTTTCCATAACGCTCCTCAAGCTTTTCGCACAGAGAAATTTTGGAACCGGGAGGAGTGCCGCCATGAGAAAGGCGTGGCTTGATGCTTTCATTGCCACCTCACTGCGTAAATTTGCCAGAGACAGCAAGAAGGGGTGAGCAACACGATCGCCATTCATAACGGAGATGTTTGTCTTGTCGGAACTGGCAATGACTCCAAGAACAGTGTGGCCAGTGGGAATAGCTTCCTGTCGTATTGTCAGGCTCGGGGCAAGGCCTGGTTGAAGGCAACAAACCTGCATCTGCCACGCACTGTCGCTGTTTATCCACTCCTTGTGGAGCCGTTCGTTGTTTTGAAACAATTTCGTGGGGGTCAAGTCAAGACTGTCTTTGAACAGCGGGTTCCGAAGCAAGAATTGGATGCATTCGAGTGAGTTGCGATAGAAGAGAACGATAGGTTTCTTGGTCGGAAACCCGGGGTAAGTGATGATACGAGAGTGCCATTTTGGGCCAGTAGGCAAAAGCTCGATACGTCGGCGAAGCTCCTTAGCAGTTTTGTATGAAAGGTGTGGCGCAAGATGCTGACGAATCTAAATGGGATGATGAGATGACGTTGAAATGGCTCGCAAAACAACATACAATTTTGAGTCCAAAAAACTGGTTAATCTCCTTCATGGTTAGGCTCGAGTGAGCAAGAAAGTCCGAGAGTTCCCACTCCGGTTCTCCCACAAACGGATAGAAGAGGTTATCCGTTCGTAGGCCACTGAATTGGTCTTCCTCGACCCAGTTCACAAAACTCTTTCCACCCTCGGCCGTTTGTGCTGCTCCAGTATATGAGTGCTGATAATGGTGCGTCGTCTGTTGTGTCATCGGATGAACAGGTTCACTGGTGCTTGCTAGCGAGATATCGTCAAGTTGAACCCGGGCCGACTCGGAAATGGATGCTTTGACTGGACGGGGCATAACCGTCTCATCCGAGGTTGCTTGTTTGCCAAATGACTCTTCGAACTGAGCAATATACATGTCCGCGTGGGGACCACCGGCAGAAATTGCGGCTGTAGCTTCGCGAGACCACGAAACACAAGAGGATCGCGGATTGTTGAGGTGTTGGAGAACTTTGGTTTTCGTGTTGAATTTGCGACGACAGCGTGGACCAGGGCATTTGTACATCGTTAAGTGTCGGTATTCACGATTATAAGAGAAGCATGCTGGCATGAATACCACCGGTTGAAGTGAAGAACAACTTGAAGCGTTAGTAAGCACGTGCTTGCGTGACTTACTCGTGGACTTGACGACCATGTCCATCCAATATTTACCCTCTCTTCATACTCTTCATACCACTCACTCTCATTCTCATTCTCAATCTCATCTTACCATGCTCTCCGTACCCAGAATGAGAGATAGTGAACCTGAACACCAGGCTACACCTTCGGACCATATCGTGCGTGCGCCACTCTTTTCCGACTCCTCAAGGTTTCTGAGCAACTTGAACATCACAGGTTCTTCCCAGTCTGTTTCGCAAGACAGTTGTTCCTGTACCCGAAACACCGGCCACCGCGGAGCTCTTCCTGCACACTCTCCGCACCCACAAGAATGTCTGCTCTCTCGAGCTTAACGCCGTGTCGATGAAACATCACGAAGCGACCTTATATCGACAAGTGCTTCAACAGCTTGCCCAGCAATCAGAGAAGAAGCTGCAGGAGGCGCAAGAGAGACTACCCCAAGATTCGAATCATTCAGACTCTGAATCTGAGTCCGAGTCGGATGAAATGGTGTGTCCCATTTAGCTGATGAATGCGAAAGTCATCTCTTTTCTAGATGCTATCGAGCGACGCGTCCGTAGAGCACCTGAAGATTCTTGCTTTGCATAAAGATAAGGAAGCCTGTGCTTTGGAGCTCCATGCGACACTTGCAAAACTCCACGAAACGAATTTATATTGCGAGCTACTACTGAAGTCCATTGAAGAGGCCACCATAGAGCTCGAAGTGGCGACAGAGAACATTAGCATGGCACGAGGTCTCGTTCGCAGCAAAGGAATGAGCGCTTTGATTTGGGAACGATGCGAGACATGCAAGGAGATGTTTCATCCCCGTTGTTAGTATATGCACATTTTTTTACATCTCTCCTCCTTTAAGCCTGCATGTATATCAGTGTAGCGAGCCCTAATGGCTCGCCAATTTATATCTGCTATTCGCACAACCAAGTTGGAAATAAGTAAACTTATTGCGACTTCTTGTCCAACGAAGTGAGGCAGAACAAATCAAATTTGGTGGTAGTTAGATGTAGTGAAGACTCAAGTTGTATGCATTAGAACCCGTTCGAGTCGGCGTGCCCGCGCCTCCTCACTCTTCAGCTCTTTCCGAAACTTCCTCGCCGCCTTCAAGTGGGATCTGGCCTCCCGCCCCACCGATTGTAGATCCTCCGCCAGAACTTCCTTCTCCTTCTCGAGCACGCGGATACGCGCCTTGAGATACTCGTTCTCTGTATTGAGCTGTTTGTTGTCGTCGGTGATCTCCTTGTTCGCAGCCGTAAGTTGTTTGATAGAGCGAGAATACTGGTTGTTTTCGTAGATGAAGCTGGCACTGTTCATGTGTAAGTAAGAACGAAGTACGAGGAAATACTCGACGACGAACCGCGTAAATGCAAAGAGACTGGGGAGAGGCTTATCGTTGACGACAGGCTCAGAGTCGTCGGAGATAGCTTTGGAACCGTATGTGGGACTGTCGAGCGAATGGGTAGGGGTTGGAAATGAGACACACACGCCACTGGCGATGAGGCTTTCAGCTGGGGGCAGATCGTCGTCCGAGACCAAGCCGACATTGAATACGCCGAGCGGAGTGCTGGCTTGATTGGTGTGAGCGTCAGAGTCGCGCGCAATCTCGTTGGCGTTCTCGTCCCGGGCCGCCCCATGGTGCTCGTTTGTAGCAGATTGGCGAAGGTGACGTCGAATGAAGATACGCTCAGCAAGCGCACGCTGAGAGTGGGCATAGTCGATATCGGAGGATGGGGCATTGGGGGAGCCAACTAAGAGGTCGACGCCTCCGCTGCTGGCATAAGCCTTTTCGAAGACACTTCGCATGTGGGCGTCCATGAATGTGGTTGAGGCGGTGGGTAGCGGAGTGGTAGTGGGAGGGACTTGAAAGAGGAAGACGATTGTGACGTCTAGTCCATGTCTAGCAACGAGCATGACGCCCCGCCCTGGGTGGAGCGACGCATAGCGAGCAGGAGATGTGTAGAAAGCCATAGTTCGCTTAGCTCTGACTTAGGCCAGCCATAGAACTGATGGGATCTGTCACACGAAACGTCATTCTATGGGAACTACATTGGACTACATGCGACTACGAATCTACAGTCGTTTGCAGGTTTCCTGATGTCCACAGGAAGACATCTCCGCTGCAGTGCTGCCCAATGACGCACCCGCGCGAACAAGCTACAGCCAGCTGACCGCTTCATCCCCATGTCCTGTCCATCGACGAAGAATGCCGACACGACAAGCGCAACGGCGACATCATGGATGACGCTGCGTCGCCGGCATTGTTGTCCTCCGCGTGTGTGAATGCTTCTTCCGACGCTGTGGTATTGTTACCCCTCATTCAAAGCACAACATTACTGATGAGCAAAAGATTACCGATGCCACAACCAGCTTACGATTCCTTCCCGGGGACCCTGACCGTCGCCCATAATCCTCTATCTCACTCAACAGCACCCTGCAAATCAGCACCTAGTCGAAGACTTGCCTCTCGGTCCGTTATCCAATCGCTCCCTTCACTGTTCTCAGTACCCCTCAGCTTTCGCTACGCCAAGTCGCAAAACGGCAAACAACTCTATATTCACTACTAGACGAACGCACAGCGACAGTCAGTTACAACAAGTTAGACTAAGCTATGCATATGCTGGCCAATCACCGGGTACTTGCCGTGTATTCAAGCAAGTAAACACGTCAGAGGCTGAGGACGAAATAAAAATACATATCCGGTCGCGATTCGACCAATCGCAGCGCCCCGCTCCGAACGGACGGTGGGCCCGGGGCCACCGACGACCATGCGAGCGGCGAACACCACCCGCCTACAGCGCTGGCAAGTATGGTATAATATCTGCAATGATCTATACTAGTATATGGCCAGCACCGCAGTAATCGAATGAAAAATTCAGGGGATCACTGCATATATATGTGCTGCGCGCCCGCCGAACGGCCAGCGTCACGGTCCCTCCAAGTTCAAACGTTTGAAACCAGACAACCATTGGCAGAGCTATCAGTCGCTAACCCACCAACATCCGTCTCGCGCTATACGCCAACCCAGCCCGGCCCCACCATACTGAACTTGAAACGCCCCCAAAGTCGCAAATCAACTCTATATTCGCCAGCTACCTATACGCACTCTATCTACGTGTCCGTGGCGGTCTTTCTCGTGTATGCATCTGTATCGTACAAGAACGGAACGAAGCGCGAAAAGTGGGGGGTGGTACACAGTGGGGTGGGGATATAACAATAACACACCAGAGGGGTCGCTGTATGCAGCCAAAAATCGCATAAGGAAGGAAGGAAGGTATGCGGGTCAGTCGTCGATGGCCGGGGGCCTTTTTTTCGTCGTCATCTTCATCATCTTCGTCATCATATCGCCGCCTACCCCGCGCCCGCGAAGCACCACTGCTGCACGAACGCGCGGTACACACTGCTGCTCGTCTCCGCGCCCGTCGGCGGGCCGCGCACCTCCGTCTCCTTCTCCGCCTTCCCCTCCCCGCTCTCCCCCGCGCCGTCGCCCGCCTCGAGCAGCCCCGCGAGCCCGCGCGCGCCGAGCGGCGACGTCGGCGGCGTCTCCTCCTCCCTTCGCTCCGCCAGCAGCGAGTTGCCATCTCCCTCGCGGTCCGAGTCCGACTCGTCCTCCGGCACCTCGGTGACAACCACTTCCGGGGCCACCGCCGTCCGGCCCCACGGCCAGTACAGCCCGACCCCCGCCTGGGCATTCGCAGCCGGCAGGGGCTCGTTGATCACCAGGGGCGACAGCCGCGGCGGGCTCGACTGCTCACGTGGCGGACTCGAGTGCACGAACCCCGCCCACGAACTCGGCCGCGGCGCCGGGGCCGCATAGTTCCGCAGACTCAGTCGGCCGAGTTTCGCCGCGAGCGCCTGCGCGTGCGCTGTCCGTGGCGGCGGGGGCGGGGGCACCGGCCCAGCCACCGGGAGGGTAGTCAGTGGGGGCTGCAACGGCGATGTGGACTGCGGCGAGGAGCGCGGGAACGGGATCGTCGACGGCGTTGGCGTCGGGAGGCCGGGCGGCGCCGATGAAGGCGGCGGACCGGGAGGGGGGACCGTCGTCGGCACGGGTACTTCTACCAGCTAGCATGAGCAACAACCACACGACAAATAATAGACAAGACCGACCTTGCGGGGTAGGGGCCGCCTCCGCGCGGAACCCAACGCGATAATTCCTCCCCCCGTTGTTATCCCACCATTCCGCCGGGCCAGGCGCGCCTGTCCCCATCCACCTTCTTTCCCTCTCCTTCTCTGTCGGCTCTTCTGAATCTACTCGCGCGTCAGCCCCGCGCGGATATCAGCAGACAGAAAAAGAGTGCTCACCACACCACACATATGGCGCCGCCCCGCCCTCCGCGACCCACGGCACGCAGAACCGCGCCACCATCTCGAGCTCGCGGCCCACCAGCCCGCGGCCCTTCTGCACGTGCGCGTAGTCCGTCAGGCGTATCGCGAAGCCGAAGCGGTCCCACCCCGGCCCGGGCGCGGGATCGCCGGCCGTGGTCGATTCGAGGTACCGCGCGCCGACCTCGCTCGTGGTGAGCCACCCGTCGAGCGTGAAGCGCACGAACACGTGCTTCTCGAACGCGGCGTTCCGCACGAGGAGCGTGCCGCGCAGGTGGAGCTCGCCGGGGGGCGTCTGTGCCTTGTGAGCGCCCGAAACCGGAGAGAAAGAAACAACACACCTCCAAGCTGACGCTCTCGAGCACAACCATGCTCGCGCCGTCCCTCGCCCGCGGGATCCCCGGCGCGTCCACAACATACCGCCACTCCTCCCCCTCCTTCCTCTCCTCCGCCATCCTCGGACTCGGGTTCAACGGGCTCGACACCGTCCGCCTCCCGCCCTCCCTCCCACTCCCCGCCACAGTCGCCGACACCCACCTTACCCCGCTGTCCGTCTCAGTTTCGGTCTCGGTCTCGTCCTCCGCGCCGAGCGGGAAGCTCACGCTCGCGGGCCGTGCCGTCCTCTTGAACACGCGCACGGTCTCGAGCCCGTCGTCCGGCGGCGGGAAGTGCACCGCCTTCGGGGTGCTCGGGCTCTCGACGTACTCGCCTTCCATGCCTAGCGCGGCGGCGAACGCGGCGGGGTCGTGCTCCTCCTCGGCCTCCTCCGGTGTGCCCGTGCCCGAGGGGGACAGCGCGGGCGTGGACGGCGCCGAGCGGGCCCGCAGATGGTGGGACGGCACGTGCGGCGCGCTGCGACTCGACTTCAGGCTCGACTTGAGCGGCTTCCCGTTGGCCAGCAATATGACCGGCTGGCTGCTTGCGCGCCCGGGCAGCGCGGGGGCGGACCGGGATTGGCGGGGTGGTGGGCGCCGGGGAGCCGGAGCGCGGGAAGGGCAGGCCGATGAACGACGAGTTGGGCGAGCGCTGCGGCGAGCGCGGGGGCGAGGCCTTGGCACCCAAAAACGAAGGCAGCTGCGTTATCGCAAGCTGTGGAGCAACTCTAGCCAGCGTCAGCAGTGACGTCAACCACGCAGCTTGCAGGCGCACCTGTATCCTCCTCGTCGGGCGTTGGCGCAGGAGGAGGGCGGTGGAGCGAAGCCTTTACAATAAAACCGTTCGGTCCATCGTCGTGGAAGAAAAAACTTCCTGAGGCTGTGTGGGAACCCGCCTCGGCCCTCGGCGCCGCATGCCGGATCCCTATCAGTGCTTCTTTTTTATCAACCACCACCACCACCACTCCGCTTGGACCCCTCTCCGTCGTGCGTCCCACGGGCACACCAAACGCCGCGCTGAACTCAAGGCATGTGCATGCAGTAGAGCCCCGCACCAGCCACGTGCACCGCACTCCGCCCCCGAGCTCTCAGCTCGCTGTTGGCCGCCACCGTGGCTTGCGAGGAGAACGGTGCAGCGGGCCGGATCCAACTCGCGTCTTGCTTCTGCTGGAGATGCACGGGACCGCTGTCTCCTCCGCCGCTTGCGACGCGCCAGCGCGGCCCGCTCCGCGCCACACCGCCAACTTGAGATGCACTCTCGTTCGTCAGCATCCTAGGCGACAACACTGCCACACGCAACATCTAGGGTCTTCGGGGTCATTCTTCGCCAAAACACGGCCCCTCACCGGCGCTGAATCGGCCAGCGCACTTGCTGTCTCGCGCGCGCGCTCTGACCTCCGAAGCTGGTCAGCAAACTTGGGGAAACAACCACGAGCTTGAAGACACTCACCAGGGCCACAAATACACAAGGGCGCGCGGTTGCAGCCAGCCTGTGCTGCGAACTCGCTCAGCAAGCGGGCGTCGGGCTGCTCACGCGAGCCACTCAGCTCATTCGCCCACGCCTCAAGGCTGGCGCCAATGTCCTGCTTCTGGGCGGTCGTCCGCGTCAGAAGAGACGCGCGGGACCGGCGTCTTTCGGCGCTCTGCGCGAGATCGGTGAGCGCCGAGCTCATCTGTTGCTTGTTCAGCTGAAGCCCTCATAGGTCTTCCAACTCCCGAGAGAAACGGGCCGACGACTGGGCTTGCGCTGCCCGCTGTTGCGCCAGACTCGAAGCCGGCGGGCCGAGTTCTTGCGCGTCCGGCTTGGAGCCTCCAGGGCGGGAAGGGCGGAATATACCCTCGGTCTCCAGCGAGTTTCAAGCGGAACGACCGCGCGCTGGGGTCTGCGCGGCCTGGCCGGCCTTGTGTCGAGGCCCGGGCCGTTCGCGGCCGTCTCCCGTCCGTTCCCCACGATATCGCGCCTGCGAGTGGCGACTCTACGGGCGTACACTTCCACGGAGTTTCGGGCGAAACGACGCAGTCGTTGAATTCGCCTCAATTCAAAATGCTAATCGCGTGATGGCGCAACTTGTGCGTCACTCCTCCACATCTTCGGCCCGGCGCGCGGCTGCGTTGCTGCACCGCGTCTCGCTACTGTGTCGAGGCCCTCTGCTCCGATATGGCCGGGATTCTCAGGAGGGGCTGAGCCAATACGCCCATGAGATTGTCCCAGTGTGTTCAGCACGTCCCAAACACGTCAAGCAATATGCCGCAACTGACACTCGACGCTGAGCTCCCCAGTCGACCTCTATCTGGAAATTAGGTTGGCGCTGACCTCCCCCGTTTCGCCCGCTGGTGAGTCCAACTGATATTGATTCACTGTATCGCCAGCCCACTCGGCTGCCAGTGACCATGGCCCAGGCCGGACTCAGCGCGTGCCATTCGTTCTGGATTTCCTTGGAATTTCTCGGGCAAGATCTCTGGCAACAAGACTGCGGTCTTCCACGCCACTTTGAATAACTTGAATTCGGTGTGCGCCACTGCGCCAGTCCTCTCCGCCACCCAAGCTCTCGTATTCATTTCCGCCACTTATCAGCTCATGCGACTTCGACTTACCTCGTGGTACAATGCTGTCTCGCGCCCGCCGTTTTGGGTGCCTCTCGGTATCGATAACGCCAGCCGCGCGCAGATGGCAAGCACGACCTCGAGCTGCTCTCCGTGTAATCCTCCTCCAAGCCATCCGACTCGTCCCGCCCAGCTCCCCCCTCCGCGTTCGGAGACTCTGCATTCTCGACCACCGACGAGCAGGTCTTCCACTTGCAGCTGCGACGTTCGCCATGTTGTCCTGGAGCAATGCGGGCAGCGACAGTATTGGGAGCGAGTCGAGCTGGACGAGCGTGGGCGAGCACGGCCGCTGGCAGACTTTGGACATGCTGCTGTGAGTGTCCGCGATAATATTGTGCTGGCGCTTCGCGCTGGGGCTGCTCGCTTTCATAGTGAATAAAGTACAATATAAGTACTGTTTAGATAACAAGATTATGTTTGAGTGCCAATACCAAGTAATTGGACACATAAATCAGTTGGTTGACATTGTGAGGGGGCAACTTGTAGTCAACTACATTCAGTTCTGAAACTAGTGTACGACTTCACAGATTTGTAGTTAACTCAATTTGGGTTGAATGTCAGTCTGTAGAGGTTTGAAGTACCATATAGAAGGTGTCAAACAGATGAGAACTCACCAAGATTACCCAAATAATGAAGCTCTAGTCCCAATGAATCATTTGGTTGAGTTTCACTTTTATAACAAATATTAACTGCCAGAGTATTTTGTAGTAAAACTTGATGGATTTGTAGTCAACCCTATCTCATTCTAAGGCCAGTTTGTAGAGCCAGAATATACCTGTCTAATGATATATAAAACATCATAAACAGACAAGAACTCACCGAGATATTGCACTAACACTATTTTGGCCAAGCTGGCCCTAAAGTGGTTGAATTCTAAAAGAGTCGATGTTGCGCAAGTATTTCATGTTTTATGAGCCAACCATAAGAAATTTTGTATAGGTCCAAACTGAACACTTGCTCAATTAATGAAGCCCTACAAACTTGTGTAATATGAAGTTGTTTGGTCAAGATTCAATTTTCAAGTTATTCAAGCCAGTCAGTAAGTTGTAGTCAAAGTCAATGGTTTTATAGTCAACTAGTTTTCAGTTGAAGGCCAAGTTGTAGAGCCCCAAAATACCTCTCTAATGATATCTGAACCGTTTAAAACGGATGAGAAACCACTGAGATATAGCGCTAATGCTCTTTTGAGCCAAGCCGGCCCTAAAGTAACCAATTCTCAAAAGAGTCGATGTTTCGCGAGTATTTCACGTTTTGTGAGCCAACCAGAAGAAACTTTGTATTAGTTCAAACTGAAGACTTGTTTAACTTTTGAAGCTCTACAAGCTTGTGCAATATGAAGTCATTTGGTCAAGTTGAAATTAACTGCCAGAGTATCTTGTAGTGAAACTTGGTAGTTTTGTAGTCAACTAGATTTCAGTTGAAGACCAGTTTGTAGTCCTTTCAAATACCTCTCTAATGACATATAAAGCATCCTGAACGGATGAAAACCCATCAAGTTATAACGCTAATACTGTTTTGAACCAGGCCGGCCCTAAAGTAAGTGAATCACAAAAGACTCGATGTTTCGCAAGTATTTTGCATTTTGCGGGACAACCATTAGAAATTTTGAATAGGTCTAAACTAAATACTTGCTCAACTATTGAAGCTCTACAACCTTGCCAAATATCAAGTCATTTAGTTGACTTTGAGTTTTAAAGTTAATTACTTGTAGTCAAACTTAGTAGTTTTGTAGTCAACTATGTCAGAGTTGAAACCAAGTTTGTAGAACTTTGAAATACCTTTCCAACCATATATGACTTGTAGTGACCAGACCAGAAACTATCAAGCAATGTCACTAACAATTTGGTGTCCAATTTTTATTGTCTAATAAAAGTCTGTGGTTTTGTATTCAATCATATTTGCGTTGAAGACCAGTTTGTAGGCCTACCAGATACCTTTCTGCTCATATATAACATGTTAGGAATGGATAAGAAACCATTGAGATATGACCCTAACACTGCTTTGAAAACTCGGGGTTGGGTCAATAATTTGCATTTTCTGACCCAACCATTAACTTTCAAGCTTAAGTCAAAACTGAATAGTAACATGTATTAAGGGTCCCTACAATCTGGTAACATTTATTTGAAAGTTTGTGTAAAGTTATTACAAAGTTGTTATGAAGTCAGTTAGAGTTTGTTCAGAACGACCGAGCTCTCCGCATCAACGGCGTTTAGTCACAGTCACGCTACTCGGCATGCCGCGTTTCAGACTTGATATGTCACAGTCCAGTAAATGCTTTTTTGACTGTTGTATGCATGCACCACAAATCTCTTATATGCATGCAATTAATCTCTAGGTGACCCAGAACAGTGCAAACGAACCCATATCTCTTCCTACTTATATCTCGGATATTTGAGCAAATGTGCGGCGTGTGATGAGTGAGGGACCAAAATATATCTTGGGTTTTACTCCGAATATATTAGGAAATGTTTGAGTCGTGTGATGAGTGAGGGACCAAAATATATCTTGGGTTTTACTCAGAATATATTGGGAAATGTTTGAGTGATGAGTGAGGGACCAAAATATATCTTGGGTTTTACTCAGAATATATTAGGAAATGTTTGAGTCGTGTGATGAGTGAGGGACCAAAATATATCTTGGGTTTTACTCAGAATATATTAGGAAATGTTTGAGTGATGAGTGAGGGACCAAAATATATCTTGGGTTTTTCCCAGAATATCGTCAAGCCATGGGCTGGGGCCGAGCAGGTTGGCCACCACTACCAGACGTTTTAGGCCGCTTTCCATCCTGCTTGCATTCCTGTCCCCCACCAAGCCAGCTGCACATTGTCAGCGGGTCTCACCCGCTCTCAAACCCCCACGCAACTTCCCCCACACACGCAACGTCTGCCTCCTCCGTTCTCGATCGGCACACCCACCTATCTGCAAGGACGATCGCGAGGAATCTCCTACTCGTCCGCATTCCTCGCGATCGTCTGCCTCTCCCGCCTACCCCCATCATCTACCTCCCTCCAACCGCCGCCGCCAGCCGCTCAGCCAACCGCTAGCCCTCCAACGTGTTCTCATGTGCCCGCCGGTTGTGTTGTGGCAAGGCGTCTTCGTACGCGTTCGGACCGGCCGGCCGGAGCTCGTGGGAAACACCATGCTGGCGTCCTCTCCTCTTCCCACCAACACGGCAGGCGCTCTCGTGCAGGAAACGAGGTGTATGGCCTCGAGAACGCCAACCTCCACCTCCAACCTTGGTCTGGCAGCTTTGTTGGCCGACTTGTGAAGTCTGTCTGCCGCGGCGGTGTCTTTTTGCAACACGAGGGAAGTGAAACGGAGCGGAGGGCGTAAGAGGGAGGTATTTATGCGGGGGGTCACAAACGGGCGAGTCTGAAGCCACTAGGCTCTTGCTTTCGTTGCTGACGACGTTTTTGTGGTGGAACAGAAGCTTGCGGCAACCGGACCCTGGTGCCGCCGCACGATATCTGAGCCCTCGGTCGTGGCATAACTCGCCACGCTCTCCTGGAAATGCAGGCGAAGATCAAGGTCTCGTCAACGGAGACGGGTGTCATTTTTGGGTCCATTCTCTGGGGGGCGCTAACATGTTGGCGGCCCGAGCGACATTCATATCCATCATGGACTACATCAAGCCCGCGTACTGCAACGAAGCACCGGTGCATTTCTTTGCTGAAATATGAGCTTTTTTTACTAACTAGCCCAGTTCTGGAGCATGTGGAGTTCGAGTGGGAGAACCGCGTCAACGTCGACCACCCCATGTCGGATCCGCAAGAATGCCTTAAACACCCTATGAAAGCAACCAACATGTCGTGTTTGGCTCCGGAAGGTGCTACCTCTCGCGACTGCGACTTGTTGTCTGCCAACATGTACGATACACACACCAAGATCGCGAGCATTGGCGTCCAAGTGCGGCACCGGCTGACAACGCATGGATTCGTGCAAAGCCTTCGCTATAGCCGCTGGCCCACAGAAGAACTGTGCAGTTTCAGGCTACGTACCACTCCAACATCCGATTCTGGGTGTTTGTCTGCGATTGAGCCGAATATCTTGCCCCAATTGGGTTGTCCAAAATGAGTGGGGGCACACAGAGACGTTATAGCATCTTTTTCCGCTCCTACGTCGTGGACCTAGCTTTCGTTAGCAACATGAGACGGATTGAGTCAATTGGCTAACCATAATGTTGTTCATGTCGTCGTATGCATATATTAGATTGCACTAGCCGACTTAACGGACATACAACTTAACCGACATTTGGACTTGGAGAAGGCCATTAGGAGTGTCACACGAGGTAACCAATTCACCAAGTCCATCATTGTCTGTTAAGTTTGTTCAGTCAGCGTGTCCGTTAAGTTCACTCGCGTATGGAAAGAACTGTAAGAGCTTGTATGTATAGATGTATGTAGTTTAAGGCTTCTTCACAATTTTAAGCAATTACGCGACATATATATACAGC